CTTCCGACTGACGCACCATAAAGACGCTCGGGGACGTCAGGGTCGTTCCTACGGCCATCCCCACTGCGGACCGACTCCACGTGCCCGGGGAGCTCAGTTTTCAGATGTGCTCATCGTGCTTTTCCCATCTGCCTCCCCGAGCTGTGGAAGGGCGCACGGCCAGGGAGAGGCCTGCAAGAGATCCTGTGCTTAAGGTAGAATTAAACAAGCGGTTTTGACAGCCCAGGATAGTTCTCGGTTACTGAGAAGTCATTTAGCATCCAAATTACTCCTGCCACACTTTTAACATCCTCATCAAGGTTTGGTACTGCTCTTTTTCACCTGTTTCCATAACCGGTTAGGGACCTGAGGCTGTGCATGTGGACACCGAACGGGGGACATTGTCTGTCCCAGTGTCATGCAGGATAGATGAAGCTTTCATGACCCTGCCTTGAGCCTGAGCCTGAATTCAGCAGGCGGGTCTAATGTTTAAGCACAAGGAGCTGAAGGTCAGGCTGTCTGGCAGGTGTCCAAATCCCACCTGCCTTTTTCCATGAGCGAGGAATCGTTCCCCAAGACTGAGCCTTTGCAGTGGCTCCGCGCAGCTTTGTAGTGGTCCTCAGTGAAGAACTGAGGGTGTAACACGTGGCTTGAGCCCTGGCAGAGCTGGCGAGACACAGGACTTCACAGCAGCTTTACCTGGCGCTGGAGAAAGCGCAGCAGAGCTGGTGTTTCTGGCCAGGGAGGAAGAGAGCTCGGCTTCCTGTCCAAACTTGGTGTTGGCTTCGGAGGGCAGAGGCATCACAGCAGGCTTTGAAGGAAGCTCAGAAAGCAAAAGTAACTCGCTAACCTCCCAGCAGCAACAGCCTCAATACTGGGGTGCCAGTCCTGACGGCACACGTTTCAGTACCAGCAGGGACAGAGAGGATCCTGAAATTATTAAATGATTTCTGGTTGTGCCCCCATCCCAGCCAAACAGCCAGCCTGCTGGATGTCTGAGGCGTGCCCTCACTTCCGAAACCTCACGGGCTGTTTCCGAAGCCAGCGCTGGTTAGAAGGGTCTGATACTGCAACAAACCCAGCAGAGAGCTCAGAAACGCCACGCTGCTGTCTTCAGCGCCAGACCAGTGCGCGACATCGTGGAAATGTTAGTTGGTTAACGGGGAGCTCTGGGGTTGCTCTGAGGGACCCGCAGGGCCCATCAGCAGTGTTATGGCAGCAGAGCCTACTTTGTGTTTGGATAGATGCCTGCAGAATAGGAAGCCGGTGGATTTCCCAGCAGGAGGTGACCAGCGTATGGTTTATTAACATCAAACGCCCCGTCAAGACAAGAACTACTCACCAACAGTACCGAAAGGTAGAGAGAGGAGAAAATAGGACGAGAGGGAGAGTCTAAAGTGTTTAGCAGGCTCCAGATTAACTTCCAAAACTGAAAAAGTGGCAGACGGGAGCAGATTCGTCTCGTGCAGGCATAATTCAAAATGTTACCATTACCTTTTGCTCTGGGTGATTAAAATCTGCATTTTTAACTCCCTCTCCAGATCTCAATGTCAGGCAAAGTACATCTGTGAAAGGGAACCCTCCGAGTTAGACACAGAATCACCAGTGCTGGAAGAGCACTTACAGACCCCCACAAAAACCTTCTTCCGGAGAGAAGAGAATCTAATTTCACTGGAGCAATGGGATATGAATTCAGGCCAAGTCATACTACAGCAGAGTTTATGCGCTGACAGCAAGAAAAATAATTTACCCAACGCATTTAACAAGAAAAACAAAGTTCCCCCTGTTTCCAGCCCTCAGGGGAGAAACCTTCCAGGCCTTGCTGGGGGGGTGCAAAAGCCATCACGCTAAAGCGCTGCACTGCTGGGCTGCATCTCCCACGTGAACTGCCTGTCTACCCTGGCAGCCTAAGTGACATACTCCTGCCCTCTCCGTGCGTTTAGCTGAAAAATGCATTTCAAAAGAAAGTAGCAGCATTTCTGTGAACAATCCATGACCTGAAATTGTTCCCCCACCAGATATTAAATCTACAGGATTTGCCTGGCCTTACCTATTGCACTGTAACAGTCAGGGTATTAGAGCATATTTAGCATATTTCCATTCTTTCCCTTCTGAAATATTCTTGCCACCGATGATTTTTAATGTATAAATTTTGAGTTCATCCTGCATCCTGAACAGCATGGACTTCCGATCACAGGGAGAAGGCAACTGACGGAGCAGGAAAACACAAGAGCGAAAGGGGAAGATGGAAAAAAACATCAAGGAGCAACACGGAAAGAATAAAAATGATCCTTAACAGGCCTGTTTTGTGTTTTCTTGCCACTAAAATTTTGATTCTGAATGTAGACACGCTATGTTACAGAAACAGCCACTGTGCCACAGTCATCCACCTTTTGCAAAGAAAAATGCCAAAAATAAAGAAGAATTGTTATTTTGCAGTTACCTTCACTAGCTAAGCTTTAGGGAGCGCGAGAGAAATCAGCAAATGCTTTTCATTTCTGCAAGCAAATGTTTTATTGCAGCTGGAGAACAGGTTTCAAAAAGAAGTGACTGGAGGAAAAGATAGCAGTGTATATTATTTTAATAACATGTATCGAAATACAAAAAGGAGAGAATTCTGCTTGTGCAGCACTGGCATAACAGACCTGGAAATGAACCCCAGTTTGCCCGCTTCCTCCTGAATCACACAGTTGGTCACTGAACAAAATCTAAAGACTGCAGCAAAAATTTACATTAGAATCTGCCATGAAGAAACTCTGGCTTAGAAACAGCTCCTTTGAAATATCTGACCGTGTAAATATTACAAGTATATCAACCAGCTGAATATAAACATCACTTTGATATAACTTAAAGAGTTAAAGAGTTATAACTTAAAGACTTAAAATCCTGAAGTGCAAAAAGTCAGAGAATTATTCATTGCAGTTTTGTTAACTGTAAATTAGTTATTAGACAGAATTCAGCTCTATTATCCACTAACATGATTTCTGACCTGATACACTGCAGTATTTTAAATGTGCAAGCTTTCAGAAAATTCCTTTTCTGCCTTAAAACACACAGTTGTGAATACACTATAGAAATCAAACCCAGGCGCCTTTCCAAAAAGACCCTTAAAGTGCAAAATATGTGTTTTCACACAATGGCAGGAAAATATAGTCAGCTTAAGAAGGTCAAGAACTCGGTACAGAAAATTAGGAATGTGTACTTAAAATAAACTCACCGCTTCCTTTTTTTCTGCTTTAATGAGTTCCTGGGTAACAATAAGTGATAAAGGCTTAAAGTAGCCTCATAATACTGTTGCTAAAATGACATAAAGCTTATAAAAGGTCTGTGCAAAGTGCTGGCTCACAAGGAACAATGCTGCGATATAGGCAGTTTTCTTAATGTTTTCGTCTATTTTAGAAAAGCATTTAGTACTCACTGGAGTCTGACCTAACACAGCAGAATAAATTTAAAATAGTCTGATTCAACAGCAATCGTTTCATGGTGTCCCATACCATTCCCTCGATGCGACACCTGGCTAGCTAACCAGTTATAGTAATGTGTTAATTCAAAAGAAGACAGGGCTTAGAATTCCTTTGTTACCACATCTTACATTCCAAAAAAGATGAGTTAAAAAAAAAAAAACAGCCAAAACCCAAATCATTCTTGCAGCTTTACTACAAGTTGGTATTTTGAACGCTACACTCGCTCAAATTAAGATGAAGTACAGATTTTTGACGCTTGCCCTCTTTAGTTTTGAGTCAGGTGAATAAAGTTGCTCTTTGGCAACATCACAATAAAACGTGCTGTGCTTTAAACGTACTCCATACACAGCGTTCTCTGGAGGCTAAGCACAATACCTGGTGAAAAAAACGCGAGAAATAACGGAAGAGGCTCCAAGACGCTAGCCTCTGGCTATTTACAGTGCTTTGCTTTTAAAAACAAATTGCGCTTTGCAGGATAAATTCCTGCTCGTTTCTTAAACCCCGCT